AATTAGCTTAAGCTTGCTAAAACTCTGTTCACCTTTGGCCACCGTAACCAGAATAGTTACAAAAATCCAGAGATCTGTCCAAATATTAGGAAACATATCTTGCCAATTATTTAATGCTAAAATCTGAAGTACTGCTTTCGGGTGATCTTTATCAATTCTAAAAACTTTTTTAAACACATGATTTCTCTTGAAAGGTCCAATCCCAAAATATTGCAATTATGATCATGTGTTAGTTTTTCCTCCAACTTTAGACAAGCTTTCTTCAAATTTTCATCAGTCTTATTCAAATCATGGAGGAAAAACCAAGTCTCATTAATTGTAGAAAGTTGTGTGAAGCATGTCTCTATTGAGTTTATAGCAGTGTCTAACACAGGATAGAAAACATTTGTTCTGAATAACGTTTCTGGATCCATTGGCGCGTCATCTTCATTTTCATATGGGAACATTTTCCCTTTCAGTGTGTGTTCCTGTCTGTGGTGAGGGGACCTCCCAGAGATGGTTTAGTAATTTTTCTTTACCATCTCTGGGATCTGAATGCCCACCCACTTGTTTGCCGTGTGTAGTGCCCCGTATGCCGGAAAGGGGAATCCTGGTAGTTGAGGGGCGACATAACGTCCCCAACACACTGCTTTGGCCCTGCTTTGGGTAAACAGGAGGCTTAAATCAGGCTCCGTTTGAGTCAATCAGCTGGTTGTTGAGTCATTCTTGATCTCGGTCTGGAGTCAACTGATCGATGCAGACCAGGCTGACATGTCAGACAAGATGTGCTCTTCTTGACTTGCATTGTGAGGGTATAGTTCCTGGGAAACTGGTCTATGGGAGTCTCCCATGTGACGGCATCTCCTTGTTGGGCCCCATGGTGGGTGGGGTCACTAGGAGCTGAATAGTTATTTTTAAATATGGATTCATTAAAATAAAAAGAAACATGTACCAATGCATCGCTGCCAAAGGAGGTCAATTCCTCCAACCAACCATCTTATCTCATCGTGCATGCTATGGGAGAAACACCTCTTTCTAAACGTTCCCCATTTTTGATTCAGAAACTCTTTGAATCGACCATTGGGCATCTTAAAAAATCCAAAAGTTGAGATCAGAAGATCTGTTTGTAGAAGCAGCCTCCCCTGAACAGTCTGAAAAGCTTTTGAAAACGAAATCTCTAGGACAGTGGTCACCAAACTTTTTGACCTCATGGACCAGTAAATTCATAATTAAATCCCGCAGACCACTAATAGGATTTTTTAAGTGTTAAATGTATTTATAAAAAAAATTGTGGTCTAAGAACACATAAAATGTACCTAGTTAATAAAATGAAACTATTAATTGTAACCAAATTATGAAAGCTTTATTAATAAACCATAATGAAATAAACAAAATAAACAGAAACTGTAAAAACAAAACAATTAAAAAATGGTTTAAGTATATCAAACTTTTAGCATTATACATTCCTAGTGTGATGGATGTTCTTGCTTAGTTGAAATAAGATTATGGATATTTGGATCCAGTGTTGTTACTGCAAGATGGAAAACTGCATTTATTTCAAGCTGAGATTGGTACCGTGTTTTGATGGCTGTGACAGATGAAAAGGCCTTTTCACATAAATAAGTTTTGGAGAATTGAATCAGAATTTTCATCGCCTGTTCACTAAGAAAAGGGTATTCACTTTTTATGGAAAGCCAAAACTGAGATCTTGATAAGGATGAATGAAATTTAAATTTGAGAGTTTTGTTAGACGATATGTTGATGAGGCTTTTTTTTAGATGCATGCTTAAATTATTATCCTGAATTTTTGCTGCAAATGGATCTATTATCCACATATTACTATGTCTGGGATCTTCATTCTTTGGGTAATAATGAGCAAAAGATTCTGCAAGTGATTCCAAGTGCTTTTGAACTAGGGTTACTACTTGCTGGTTAACATCATTTTCCTTCATGTATTCATCAAAATTAGAAAACATTTGCAAATCATCTTCAACCAACCGTGTTTGCCACAGTAATACAGTAGACCCCCCTATAACGCTTAGATACGTTCCACTTTATAAGAAATTTACATTGTAGGAATCCTTAAATACATGAGCCAATCACAGCCCGACACGTGTGAAGTTTACGGACTAAGGCTGTTTGAAAGGCTTTCTTCTATAAAATTAACCGATTCTAGACTAATTCGACTCAACATTTCCAAAACACTTATAATTTTTTGGGAATAATCCATATAAACTATGCTATAAACAAAAAATTGTAGGATTGCTTACCGAGTGTGCACCGTTCGACTACACCATTGCTTACGCTTGTTTTCGTCGCAGAGCAGCGCACCAAACGGCAGCCGTGTTTTCTGATAAATTATTTTTCTGCGAAAAATTCATTGACCTTTGGAGACATCATTAATAGAAATAATTTTTATGGCTGTTGAATAAGAAAGGTTTCTTTCACAAGAAATGTATAAAATTAGTGCTGTATTAGACTTACGGTACCTAATTTACATACTGTACAGACGATAGTAAACTCAACTTACTTGCCTAAACTCTCCGTAGCGTGGCGCTGGACGGCGGAAAGTATATATGTAATTATAATAAAGTTACAATATAATTATATATACAGTACCTAATTTATATATAATTTATATATAATACTGTACAGATGATAGCAAACTCAATTTACCTGCCTAAACTTTTCGTATCGTGGCGCTGGACGGCGGAATGTAGTTCGGTTGCTCATCCACTATTGGTCCAGATTGGACCAATCTTGTCGTGACATGAGTCGGCGACGACGTTTTACGAATTCCTTTATACGACTACTGCTGCAATTTTTTCGCTACGTTATAGGAATTTCCATTATAGGAACCCATGTTATAGGGGGGTTGACTGTATTTTTTTTTGAAACGCATCCATTTTACTTCATAGTGTGAACACGTCCTTAAGTTGTTCTTGCAAGGATATGTTTAGTTCATTTAACAAGGAAAAAATATCTGCCAGGTATGCAAGCTTTGCTATTCATTCATTGTTGGACAAGAATTTGTGCAATTTCGGATTATTTTATTCCTGGAAAAATAATTTGACTTCTTCCTGCAAGGCGAATAGTCGGGCCAGTATTTTGCCCCTCGACAGCCATCCATCTCACCTCAGCGTCACAAAGAAGATGAGTATACTCGGAACCCATTTCTTCACAAAGTGCCTCAAATATTCGAGAATTGAGTGCTTTGTGTCGAATTTCCTTTATAATTTCAATGACATTTGATAATACTTCGTGTAGTTCTGGGGACAGTTTTTTCGCTGCAAGTTGTTCTTGATGTATAATGCAGTGTGTAGATAAAATGTCTGGGTGACCAACATTCTTCACCTTTGCAACAATTCCTGAAAGATGTCCAGTCATATTTGCGGCACCATCTGTGCATATCTTAATAAATTTTTTCCAGTCAATTTCATGTTCCCGGAAATAACTATTAAGAGCTTAAAAAATCTCAGAGCTGGTTGTTCGACCCGGCAAATTAAGCGAACAAAGTAGTTTTTCATATAACTCTTCTTCATACTCAAACCTCACAAAACAAAGGAGGAGTGATTTGTTTGTAATGTCCGTAGATTCGTCTAGTTGTATTGAATAAATTGATGAATTTTTCACCATTTTTATTATCTGATTTTCAATGTCTTTGGCCATATCTTCGATTTTGCGCTTGATAGTATTAGCAGACATAGGAATTACTTTCAATTTCTGAACAGCCTGCATTCCCAAAATCTGTTCACAGGCTTTTAACATGCAAGGCTTAATTAATTCTTCTCCAATCGTGTACGGCTTTTTGCATTTCGCGATCTGATTTGCCATGAGATAGAAAGCCTTTAGTAATGATTTATCTTCCATGGTCACTTTTCTTAAAACAGTAACTTGCTTTTGCATATTTTCATACATCCTTTTAAAATATTCTAGCGGTTTTTTTGCTAAATCCGGGTGTTTTGAGTTCAAGTGTTTTTCAAGTTTGGTAGGTTTTAATGCATCGTTAGATAAGCTTTCAGAACATACTACAGAGAGGCCATGAATCCAGCTCACTGTCAGTTTCTTCAATGAATCCAAATTTTAAGTAGTAAGAATGATATTTTCTTGATACTTACCATTTTTTCTTCTCTCCACCTCCTGTTTCAACATTTTTCCTAATGGTGCCTGATGAAGACTGGAGAGTCTGATTTATTGATCAGTTCACGGTTAGGTGAAGTGCTATTAATGTTACTATTATCGTTCTCAATATTTTTTGAATTATTAAAGAAATGCAGAATATTCTATTGCTTTTTTTCACTCGTTATGGGTTTAATTTATTTGAATCTAAAATAAAAAAGAGAAGAAATTTACAAAAGTCAAACAAATTTTATCCCAATAAATATCAAATAAAAGAAAATATGCACATGGTTAAGATTTCAGATCATACCTGTCTTAAAAAGCATCAATACACAAAAACTTCCTTAATAATCTAACTAATATATTGAATATATTTTATATTGAACTCAATACGTCCGTAAGCCCACGTTTAAATGCTTCAATTGATATACATATGCCCTCTGGTGGCACAAGAAGACGGATTTTATAAAATAAAAAGCAGTTGAAACTGTCAATTTTTATTCATAAAAATGCAAACTATATTCTTTAACTAACATTAAAAAAAATTAAAAAACAAAATTAAAGAAACAGAAATTTCCTGCTTTTAGCCTTAGGCCGAGACTCCACTACTGTAAAAACGGGCATAAAACCCCTGGCTGTAAAAGCTTTTAATCACGTGACCGATTTACGTTTGCATCTGGATTGTGGTGGAGGTTTGACTAGAGAAGCTTTTACAATGACAGTGATGCACCAAGTGTCGAAAGTAAATACTTCTTAGCACGTGAATTGGTGGAAACAACACACTGTTGTATATGTGATGTATTGATATAAAGACAATGATTATATTCTACGAGTTTTTATAACTTTTCACTTATTGTTATGAATTGAATTATGTTTCAGTGCATCTTAAAACATAACTTAACATGATGAGTAAGTATATTCCACATTTTTCTGGGGACCAGCGAAATTTTCTCACGGACCACTACTTTGGTGACCTCTGCTCTAGGAGACAAGTCACCATCACACCACACACAAGTTTGAACTCATCACATGGTGTGATATCTGAAATCAATCTGATGTCTGAGGATGAATCACATATTCAGATCGGTCTTTCAGATCAAGGTATCACTGCTGTCAGACACATTTCCATTTGTCGAGAGGGCAAATTGATACCAACTGAACACCTTATTCTCACCTTTGGAAAGCCATCATTGCCATCTTTTGTTACGGCAGGATATTTGTCCTGTTCAGTTCGTTCATATATTCCAAATCTGCTGCGTTGCTTTAAATGCCAGCGGTTTGGACATTCACAAACATCCTGCCGAGGTAAAAGCTTATGTGCACAGTATGGAATTGAAGGCCACCAGCATACTGAGTGCACCAGTACTCCATGCTGTGTAAATTGCAACAATGCCCATCCTGCCTACTCTCGGAAATGCTATGCATGGCAGAGAGAGAAAAAGATTCAGCGAGTAAAAACTGTAAACAATCTATCTTACCCAGAGGCTCGGCGCATGGTCACTTTAAGTGCACCTTTGAAACAAGATATTTGCGGCTGTTTTGAAATCCACAAAGACATGTGGAGTTCAAACAAATATTTCTGTTTTCCCAGAAGAATCTCTTACTTGCCACATAAAATGTTTGCTAATCTAATCAAAAGAAACTGAAGAAAAGGAGATTATCAAGACAAAGACACCACTTCTTAAAGAAGGGGTAGTAATCAGAAATGTGGGTTCAAAAAAAGCAAATAAGAACCCACTTAACAAACAAAAATTAAAAGCAGTCTTTTCTAAATCTAAAAGATCAGAGATTCAGTCCATGAGTGAGTTTCTGATATCTCTGACGAAGAGCCTAATATGGAGGTGAAAAAAACCAACGTCACACCGAAAAGAAAATCCCCCTGTGAAATTAAAGAGGGATACCCTTGCAAAATATGCTGCCTCAAATACATAATGCATTACAAAATAATCCAATGGAACTGTCGTGGTTTTCGCAATAACTTCTCTGACGTTAAACACATGACATCGTCTACCCAATCTCTCTGTGTGGCACTCCAGGAGACTCATCTGAAACCTGGAGAAAGAATTACTTTAAAAGAATTCGATCTCTACCACAAAGATGATGATAGCCACAACCGTGCCAGTGGCAGTGTGGCTATTCTGGTTTCAAATTGCATTCCATCCTTACCGCTACAAATAACCACTGCTTTGCAAGCTGTGGCAGTCAGAATTTCTATTGGCGTAACTGTCACAGTTTGTTCTATATACTTGCCACCAGACGTCAGAGTCAATGAGGATGAATTGGATGCTTTGGTTGAAAAGCTGCTGACTCCATTTCTTTTACTGGGTGATTTCAATGGCCACAATCCTATGTGGGACAGTCACAATATCAACCATCAAGTCAGAGCCATCGAAAGATTCATAGGCAATCACCAACTGTATTTATTTAATACTGGAGAAGTGACATACTTCCATGCCTCAACAAGAACATTCACTGCCATTGATCTATCATTAGCAAGTCCAAACCTGTTTTTAGCATTTTCATGGGAGGTTGGATCTAATCCACTCCACTTCCCAATATTTCTAGAATATCGAGGCAGAGAAAGCTGTGAAACAGCTTGCCCACCATGCTGGAAAGTTGAAATGGTAGATTGATCTGCAATCTCTTCTTTGGATGACATCACTGAGGAAATGGTCAACACTGCTGATATCAATGATGCAGTTCAAGTTGTCACTTCCAGTATTATTCAGGCAGCTGATAAAACAATGGGAAAAACATCAGCCAGATATCCAAAGCATCCAAAACCATGGTGGGATAAGAATTGCGAGGCAGCATTTAAAATACAAAAGAAAGCATGGGGAATTTTCAGAAGATATCCCACTGCTAGTAATTTGATTGCTTTTCAAAAAGTGAAGGCAAATGCCAGAAGAATAAGAAGGCAGAGCCAAAGGGATTCTTGGAGGAAGTATGTTTCTAGCATAACATCATCCACTAGCTCAAAAGCAGTCTGGGATAAAATTAATGGAAAATATGCTTCTCACTCTCTGTCCATGCTTGAAAATAATGGCACAATAATCAGTTATATACAGGGTATTTTTGATCTTTTGGGTGAGACATTTTCCTCCTCATCCAGCAATATCATGTATCCAAGGAATTTTCAGGCTTATAAGGCCCAAAGTGAGAAAAAACATTTAAACTTTCACACTTCATCTAATGAGGAATATAATGTGCCATTTATGAGAATTGAATTACATACAGCGATCTCTTGCTCGGGGAATACTGCTGTAGGCCTGGATAAAATCCAATACAGCATGATTAAAAATCTGTCTGACAATTCTCTTATAAATCTTCTGAATCTGTTTAACAGAATATGGACAAAACACTTTTTCTGACTTTTGGAGACTATCATTATTCCCATTCCCAAGCCAGGTAAAGATTGCAAGAATCCCTCTAATTACAGGCTAATCTCTCTGACAAGTTGCCTGTGTAAACTCTTTGAGAGAATGGTAAACAGATGTTTGATGTTCCTTCTAGAGGAAAAGAGCTACTTTTCACCATATCAGCGTGGATTACATTGGAACAGAAGTACCATGGACAATTTAGTAAATCTTGAAACATGTATATGCGAAGCATTTGTTAGACGACAGCACTTAGTGTCTGTATTGTTTGGTATAGAAAAGGCCTATGATCACTGCTGGCTATACAGAATAGTTTGAGATCTACACAAATTTGGATTGCGGGGTAATTTGCCAGTTTTTATAAAACACTTTCTGCAGAATCGAAGATTTGAAGTTAGGATGGGCAATACTCTATCTAGGTCTTTAGCCCATGTAGAAGGTGCTCCTCAAGGTTGTATTTTGAGTGTAATTCTGTTCCTAATTAAAATTAATAGCATAGCTAACTGTCTTCCTCCTAGTATGAAACACTTGCTGTATGTGGATGACTTTCAGATCTCCTGCCAGTCTAGTAACATGAGTTTTATTGAGAGACAACTGCAAACCTCCCTAAATTGTATAGACAATTGGTCCAAGAGCAATGGTTTCACTTTTAACACAGAGAAGACCTAATGCATTCACTTTTGCCAAAGGCATGGTTTGCACCTGGAACCTGAAATTTACTTAAATGGGGTTAAAATTTCAATGGTCAATGAGGTGAAGTTTTTGGGAGTTTTATTTGACCGTAAACTGACATTTTTACCCCACTTGTGCAATTTGAAGAGTAGATGTCTAAAATCTCTGAACTTTTTAAAGGTATTATGCTGCTCATTTTGGGGAGAAGACAATTGTTCTATGCTCAGGATTTATAGGATCCTTGTTCACTCAAAACTGGATTATGGGATTATGGATGCATTGTTTATGGCTCTGCACGAGAATCTACTCTTCAGATGCTGGATCCAATCACCATCAAGCACTGCGTTTGTGCACTGGTGCATTTCAAACTTCTCCGGTTCAAAGTTTGTGTGTGGATACTTTTGAGCCTCCACTATTCCTCAGGAGAGAACAGTTGTCTCTTTTTTACTACATCAAACAGAAAACTTTGAATAGACTTTCAGCTAATAGTTCAGATACTCAGCTGAAAAGGTTATTGCAGCTTTGAGTTGTGTCTTCACATTCAACATAAGAATGGAGAATGTAAGCATCATGATTGATTTGGACACAAACCACATCTCACAGGTTGAAGTTAATAGTATTCCACTTTGGTCAATTTCATCGATAAATGTTGACTTAAGCTTAAAGCAGTTTCCTAAAGAAACCACATCAGATTACATTTATAGACAGCACTTTGCAGAAATTCAACACAGTGACAGGAATTTAATTCCTGTTTACATTGATGGATTGAATTCGAAAGATCACGTTTGCTTAGCTTTTGTGTGCCAAGATGAAATTGTTGCAGAACAAATTGCACCAAATTTTTCCATATTTACTGCAGAGCTGCAGGCTATTTATCTAGCCTTGAACTAGTAATCAGTAAAGGTCATCATTGCTGCGTGGTTTACACTGATTCAGTTAGTGCACTTCAGGCTTTGATCTCATGTGAACCTAGTTCTCACTTCGTAGTGATTAAAATTGATAATCTGATATGTCATCTTTTTACAAGGAATCTCTCTATAAAATTTTGTTGAGTTTCGGGTTGGTATAAGAGGGAATGAAGAAGCTGATGCATCTGGTCCTTCACTGCATGCAATGCCTATCGAAGAAAGTGATTTGAAGCTAGTAGGTAAAAAACGACTAGTAGAGAGATGACAAAATGCGTAGAATGCACAAATCCACAATAAACTACATGAGATCAAACCGATGATAGAAAATTGGACACGTAATAAACAGTATGACAGGAGATCTGAAGTTATTCTTACTCGCTTGAGAATTGGGTATACTTAGTTGACTCATCAATACCTTTTGAAGGATGAAGACCAGCCATTATGCTAATATTGTAGCTGCACTGTAAGTGTTAAACACATATTGTGCAACTGTGTTTTATGCGGCCCTTAACACTAACAAACCAACAAACATACTGTGCAACTGTGTTTTATGTGGCTCTTAACACTAACAAACCAACCAACCAGTCCATGCCCCAATCCAAAGGACTTATACATTTGTTTGGATTGATTGCTGTTCAGGAGGCCTGTTCGAAGTCTAGAAAAAGCGGTTTTATTCTGTCAATGCTATTCAAACTTGTTAGGACAAAAGTAATGTCTTCTGCATATGACACACATTTTATTTTTATGTTTCTGTTATTTGGTGGTCAGTATCCACAAAACAAGGGACTGGACCTTATATAACAAAATAAAGGTTTTAAACTTATTACAAAGAGCAGCATGGATAGGTGGCATCCCTGATGAACAGAGCAGCCCACTTCAAATTTATCAGTCAGGTTTTTGTTAATCATCAGATGGCTCTTTTACTCTCGTAACATAACTTTATCCAGCTTGTAAATTTTTTTGCCACATTGCAGTGTTCTAATATTCTCCACAGGTACTCATGACAAATGTTATCAAAAGCTTGCCTGAGGTCTATTTGAAGGAAGCAGTAAGAATCAAAGTCATTTTTGATGAGGTTATAGATAGTCTGGGTCAGGAGGATGTTTGTGTGGATGCATCATCCTTTTATTCCACAGGTCTGTGCACTATCAATGAGATCTGAGATGACTTTTTGAAACCTATTTGCAAGAATTCTTGTTAGAATTTTATAGTCTGTGTTTAATAGGGATAGTGGCCTCCAATTATTAATTTCTTTTAGATTGGGCATTTTTTGCACTTTCGGAATGAGTGTTATTATCCCTTGGCATAAATTTATTGCGACCTGATTTTCTGATATGATGGAGTTAAGCATTTGCACCAGTTTGTTGCCAAAGATTAGAAAAAAATGTTTGTAAAGCTCCAAAACTGACATTCTTGCCACACTTGCGCAATTTGAAGAGTAGATGCCTAAAATCTCTAAACCTTTTAAACGTACTATGCTGCTCATCCTGGGGAGCAGACAAAGTTTCTATGCTCAGGATTTATAGGGCCCTTGTCTGCTCTAAGCTAGACTACGGTTGCATTGTTTATGGCTCTGCGCGAGAATCTACTCTTCGGAGGCTGGATCCAATCCATCATGAAGCATTGCGTTTGTGCACTGGTGCTTTTCGAACTTCTCCTGTACAAAGTTTGTATGTGGATGCTTATGAG